GATCTTTGGGATTGTTATTTGGATATTTTTTGTTGGTGGTGAGGGAAACGATTAGTTGTTGTGGTGGTGATATGCCGCCTCAGGAGTTGTTGAGTAGTCAAGACAGTGAACAAGAACTGCTTTTGGAAAACTTCAAAGCAGCAGCCAACTGCTTGACAAACTTATACCGAAACTCACTTAATGTTGAAAAGAGAGCAAAAAACTTAGGAATTCAATATGCTCTCGAAAGTGTACTTTCTTGGGTAACAATCAGTTTTGAATGCTTCTTCTATCCCATAATTAGTATTTTCTAGGTTGGAGAACAAGCTTCAACAGGTAAACAAACAGTCTCTTTGGAGGAACTTGTTAGCTTCTGTTATCAACTGAGCGACCAAATGGGATCAAGCGAGGTAAATGCGAACTACTTGAAATTTCGTTTTGGGGATAGAAGATCGGACGGCAACGTAGATACTCATATCCACGTAGAACAACCAAGTGCTGCTGACAAGAACTGTTCAGAAATTGACCAAGCTAACATCTCTTCAGCACCCTCTTGGTTCGGCCTTGAAAGGAAACGTTCCAGAAAGACCTATGAAGCCGAATTAGCTCCTCAAGACTTCGGACCCGTTTGGTCTGGTTGGAATGGAGAGAATAAGCTGTATCATCCTTGAGAAAAACTTTATCTATATGTGCGTGAATTGTATACGTAACCACAACTCCCAACAACAAGCAGTGAAACCAGAAGATTCTTTATTGAGTTTCGTTTGGAATAACCCGAAGTGGAGGACGAGGCGGTTTCCTTTTTGTTCTCCCGTTTTGATCATCTTGATATAACTGTTGCTTCCATAAACAAAATTTTTCTTCCAATTCAATACGATGAAGGTCTCGTTTTTTGATTTCCTTTCGGAGTCTACTAGACTCTTCTAGCAATTGCTGTCGTTCCTAAAAAATTCATATGAATTACAAAAAATTTCCAAACGTCAATTCTCACATTTTGCAGATTCTCAATTTGTCTGTTAAGACTAGTTACTTGATCTTGCAAAGCATGATTGTCTGCTTGTAAACGAACCAATTGGCGACCATCTTCAAAGCCGGAGCCTTTACACGCAGCAACAGCCAACTCTTCTACTTTACGAAGTTCTTCATTGACTCGTTTCAAGTCAGCATCTCTTCGCTCCAATTTGTGCTTCAACTTGCCTATCACGCCGTTATCTTCCACGAGATTCTAAAAAGCAATTAACCAATCTACGCATAACAGCATATACATTCTTCGTACCCGGTAAGAATTTTCCAGTTGTTCGATTTTTTGATCTCTTTGATGGATCGTCTCCAACAACTTCTTCTTCTCCTTATAAAACTTTGCTAGTTCTTGGTTCGTTTTTTCGAATTCTTGCTTCCACAAAGAATTCGGGTCATCTCCTGCAACTAGTGTTAAACGAAGAACGTTGAAACGAGAACAAAATTTTTTACACACCTTCGACTGGAAGCAAACTTATGACTGTGGAAGGGTTGATACTGAGCGAGGGGATCGAAGTTTTACAGATTGGCTTATAATTATCGCGCAACTCTTTAGACAAATCCAGTTCCATCGATAACTGTTGCTTCTCCTTCCAAACAAGTTCCAAGCGCTCCTTTATCAATAGGATAGTATGCGAACAGTCATTCACATCTCTTTCCAGTTGACGTCGTTCACTGTCCACCGACTCCAAACTGGTCAGTAACTCCGAATAAAGAACCGAAATTCTCTCGAATTCAGAATCCTTATGTTCTGACAACTCTTTCCAGTGTTCCGTATCTTCTACGTATTTTTCTCGGACCTCCTCTAACTCGGAATAGTAGCTTTGAGATTTTTTCTGTTCATCGCTGAGCGACGCTTGTAACTGCTCTATTGCAACTTTCGATTGCTCCAGCTATTCCAAAATATTTACAAAAAAAGATCAATAAAAAATAATCCATACCTGTAAATGTGCTTCCGTTAGTTGCTCATAGTTGCTGTTTCGCTCTTCCTCAAATTCTCTCTGCTCTTCTTCACGACGACTTTGTAACTCATTATAGGAACTCTCTAGTACATGTACTCTTTGTTCCAGTTCTTCCACATTTCTAGATAAGCTCTTCTTAATTGCAGAAATTTCTTCAAGGTTGTCATTCAAAGACACTATCTGGTGTCGCATCTGTTCATTTTCTTGTTGAAGCAACTCGTTTTGAGCAGCGACCTTAGATGACTCTTCTCTACTCTGTTCCAAATCGCTCCGAAAATTCTCAACTCGTTCTCTTGCTTCTTCTAGTTTCATTAACAACGTCTTATTCTCAAGCATAAATTCATTCTTTTCCTTTTCAAGAGTTTGCAATTCTTCCATAGTTTTCTCTCTATCTTTCGTCAAGTCTTCCAGCTTATTTTCCAAATTGTTCACTTGCGATGAATTTTCCTTTTGTTTCGAAGAAGATTCCTTCAATTTCACATTCTCCGCTTCTAGCTTTCGCAACTGTTTTTGCAAAACTTTCAACTCTCTTTCCAGTTGCTGTTTCTCTGATGTTGCTTGCGAACAAAGAACCTTGGAAGAGCGACATTTTGACTCCAATTCCGTAACTTTTTGTTTCAAGGAGTCATTTTCCTTTAAAATAGACTGATTCCCATTGGGAAGCATAGCCGTGTGATATGTTTCTAACTGTGATGTTTTCTTGGACAAATCAGCTTCCAAAGCGTTGATTCTGTTCTCCAACTCTTCTTTCTGCTGAAACAATTCGAACAACTTTTCATCTTGTTTTCTATTATGTTGCTCCCACTGTTTGCACTTCAATTCAGAACATCTTTCCAACTCATTTTGCACGACGTTGTTCATTAAATCCGTAACGACATCTTGCGACACTCGAAAACAATGTTGACTGTATAACTCAGTGTAACGCTTTCTATAAGAAGCATTCTCCATTTCTAACAACTCGTTGTTGTTTGTTACTTGCATAAGTTGACTCTTTAAACATTGTATTTCGTTTTCTTCTTCTTTGAGAGTGTTTTCTAGAGACACCAAATAACTTTCCATGTAGTCGAATGTGTCAAATGATGCATGCACGAAAGAAACGACTGTCCGCTTGCGAGGAGATTCTGTCGAGATAACGCAATGGTGAGTTGAGAGTTTTTGCAATTTTGACAAGTGTTCATCGTTGATATAACCATCATACATCCTCTTTCGGGGAGCAGAAAAATCTATCTCTGAGAGTGTTGGTTCACTGTCAACATTTTCTCGAATAATCTCTTGACCACTTTCATAAGGTAAAGATTTTTCTCCTCCTTGACGATCTTGTTGCAGTTCCGTCAGCTGATTACGCAACATTTCTATTTCCTTACGATAGTTCGACAACATAGCCTTGTCATCTAAAATTTCATTGCAATACGCATTAATCTTTACCTTCTTTGCTCTACTCGCAAATTTCAACGTTGAATGAGTTTCCTCTATATGCATAGCAGCAGGAGTGACTGCACAAATAACAGTTGTCTTTGAGTTACCACCCAATGCAGGCTGTAAGATTCTAGTAAGCTTGGAATCTCGATAAGGAATATGACTATTAACTCCTTCACATAGCTTATTAATGACAGTCCCTAACGTGAGTAGGCTCTTGTTTATATGCATGCCTTCCTTCAGCCTTGATCCCTCAGCACCTGTTTGGGAAACACGCTCAGAACCAGCTAAATCAACTAAAGTCAACGTGCTCGCTCTCACGGAAAGTCCATCGCTTTCAATGTCTCTATTCTTTTCACGAGACTCAATAAAGACAGTAAATATCGTATGTGAACGTGAAGAATGTTCATTCATGTTGGTCGAACCTATGGTCCTATTGCTTTCTCCCTTCTTCATTATCTCAAGAACTGTCTCAGGAGTATCAACAACTTCCTCCTTTGCATCGACGAACACCCTTCCATTGAAATCTTCGTGTACTTTGAGATTTTCATTATGTGGTGCTAACAAATCTCGAATATTTTCATTGTATATTTCAATGTAGGATACTCTTAGCAGGAATTCCCTATCTTCTATCCTTTCGAGGCGTCCAAAAACTTGATAAATGGAAAGCGGAATAATTCCTTTATCTTCAGGTGTACCTAGCATTGTATGTGTCTTTCCAGATGAAGTTTGTCCGTAAGCAAATATGGTACCATTATAACCATCGATTACCGAGTCAACCACTGAACTAGCAGCTTCTTCGAAAACAATTTTGTTGTTATCTTCAGGTGTAAATATTCTGTCAAAAGCATAAGAACAATAGGTCAACGGTTTACCAGCGTGGCACTGCGTTATTTGATTTCCATATATCTGCCATGACAGACTAGTCGATCTTACCACTTCACGCTCCCTAACATTTAATGGTCGCACTCTAACATAAACTTTCAGTGTATCGGTCTTGGAAGTACTATTATGGTTGTTATCCGAAGGACTCGAACTACTTCTTCCTTCTCTTTCCAAACAAGGAAAGACTTCCATTGCGGAATCCGTTTCAAACGGCCAATTTTAAGGCGGGCCTTCCAATTCGATTCAATTCGATTCGCATGAAGACGCACTTTTGGTTGCTGCTATTCCCTTTCCAACAGAATTTTCACAACACTTGTGGTTGACTTGAGAAAGGCTAGAATAGTTTCAAATAACTTGTCTTTTCATCTAGTACTTCTAAATTTGTAATGTGTGATCTGATCTTTACACACAGTTTAATCAGTAATACAGAGGTTCACTTCTCCAGAGCGCTAACCCAGTCTTCACGTTCTCTTCAACAATTTTATAGATTGATCTCCCCAAAGTCGAGACGCAGCTGTCATCAATGTGTTTAAAATATTCTCAACTTTTCTTTCACTGTCACTAGAAGTACCTTGTAACACAGTTTCCAACCGTAGAAAGGTCTCGTAAAAGTTCCCGTTTGACGGTCGCCTCGTGAGGCTTTTCAAAATATTAACTGTTTCTGTTCCAGCTTCTTGGACACCTGGAAACTCGGTCAAATTCGAGCTAACTCGAAAGGCAGTTCCAGAGTACAAACGCTTCGATGGTTCAAATCTTTCCTATCGTGTTCAAATCTTCCTGAGTTCCCGGTTATTTCAACTTCAAGTTTTCAGCGCTGTAGCTATTGGAAAGTCGTTTCCTTTGTTTCCTCTACCAAGGTTTCACCTTGGTTTTTCGATAGCCATCCTGATCGCGGCTAACCAAGGCATAGCTCTTTCACAAACAACAGTTGCAACAATTAACAATCTGTTTTGGACAATTTCCTATACAGTTTGTTGGAACATGATGAACAAGGAACCATGAAACTGTTTATAACTATGAAGTGTAGCATCACATTTGCAACCTTCAATTTTTTGAAATTTAACAAAGTTGTCGCTATAGTATACCAACAACAAAGTATAAAACTAGAAAGAATCAAATCGAAATTAGACAAATAATCGCTTCACAACGAAAAAGAGTGTGCAAATAAGGCAACCTATTTTTTTATTTCTTCTATGCATTGCTTTTGGTATCACAGTGGTCATCGAGAAAAAGGGCTTTGCAACAAAAACTTTACTTATAAAGCCTTTATCGAACCAAGCTAAAAAGAGAACTTTTTCGCTAGCCAATTACGCAATAGATCTGCAAAACTTTCATTACTGAATGTTGAGTTAACTTCCTTATCATCCTGTCAATAATAACAGAAGTATCTTCCGGGTTTTGAATGAATCAAGGATTTTGCGCCAAAATGGAAATATCTTATGGCTGGGCATCAGTTGATCTCCACCACAGAAATCCAAATAAAGGGCAGTGTGCAACCCCACCAAAGTTGTCAAATTTATTGTTGCTATTTATTTGCTTATGTTCCAGTCTTCTACAATTCACTGACTACTTTACCTTTCGTGGCTTTTTGATTCACACCAAACAAATGACCTTGTGTTCAAGAAAGCAAGTCTGGAAGGAAATAGAGAAGCCTATGGAAGTAGAACGCAAGATTGTATCACTCGAAGCTTTGTATATAGTATATGACGCAGACGGGACAGTTGCGGGAGAGCTACTCTACCTGCTTCGAAAGTGGTTAGGAAAAGGTCACTGTGCTGCTTGTGATATTACCCACGGTCCAAGAAAAGTAAAACCGGAGTGGACAATACTCCAAAAGACAGGTTGGCTAGGTGTTCCCCTTTTCAATATTCATAGAGATGAAATGGAACCAAAGGTTCGTTTTTCTTCAATTTTTAGCTACCATGTCTGACTCGATACATAGCTAAGATCCGCCGTTAGCTGTGCGTTGCCCTGTGTCGCAGCTTTGGTCGACAACGGCGACTACGTGTTATTGCTTCAACCAGAAGACTTAGAAAGTTGCAAAGGACAAGTCTCCAAGTTACAAGAAAAAATTGTCGAAGCTCTGAAAGACTTCGGTTTCCAGGTGAACGAGTCCTTTACAAGTGTGGTCACAAGTGACCTATCCGATACTTGCCCCTCAACCTTGGATAGAGAAAAAGAAGAGGATGATGCCGTTGTCCCCTTTTAGTTTTTCAAGCGTAGTTTGTCTTAGTTATTTAATTCTTCAAGTTTGTGTAGGTTCTCACACCGTTTGTGAGTTTTTGGCATCGAAAGAAAATGTACAGACGTAATTTTGAATTTTAGCGACCAATAAAGTCCGTTTGTGGAATGATGAGCGATCACCGGCTGGATCAGAATCTTTTTGTTAACAGTAAAATGATTCGGAGTCACTTTGTGGAATATCTTTGGAAATTTCCATCATGTCAGCCCTGTATGTCTATTCATGCTGACAACTTGACTTTTCTTCGTAATCGACCTACTAGAGCGTCCTACAACTTTTTTGAACTTTCCTTTCGAACTCGTAGATATTCTTTTCACCACTGGAGGCCTCGAAGACTAAGGATTTGTAGTTCTCAAAGCAGTAATCACTTGTTCGTGTATATGTCGGAAGTAGTCCCCAAGAACTATGTGGATCTTGCCTTTCAGTTAGCTGATGTTGCTGGGTCTATATTAAGAAGACATTTTAGGAAAACCAACAGATTCCTAGTCAAATCTGATCAAAGCCCGGTCACTCTGGCGGATAAAGAAGTTGAGCGAACGTTGCGTACTCTATTAAAGCAAAGTTATCCACAACATAATATTTTAGGTGAGGAGGAAGGACAAGAATCTCTTGGCTCGTTATCTAACGAAACTTGTTCGGATTATACTTGGGTTCTTGACCCGATTGACGGAACGAAAGCATTTATGACTGGTAAACCAACGTTTGGTACTTTAATAGCCCTTTTAGAGGGAGGAATTCCTATTCTTGGAATTATCGATCAACCTATACTGAGAGAAAGATGGTTTGGTGCGAAAGGATATGGTGCGTTTTATAACGATACTCCTATATCGAATACTTTACAAAGAGAATCATGTTCACAAGATCAATTGAGAGATTGTGTACTATATGCGACTTCACCAGATATGTTTCATAATGAAATGTTAGATGCCTTTAAAGGGTTGTCGAAACGAGTACAATATACATTGTATGGTTGTGACTGTTATGCATATGCTTTGTTGGCAAGTGGTTTTGTTGATTTGGTTGCAGAAGCGGATCTTAAGCCTTGGGACTATTTGGCTCTTGTTCCAATCATTGAAAACGCCGGAGGATGTATCACTGATTGGAATGGGAATTCCTTAACAATCTCTTCCTATTCAGGTTGTGTCTTGGCAGCAAGAACAAATACCTTACACCAACAGGCACTAGAAGCACTCCATATGCAAGATTCTTTGAATTCTTTTCATCAAGAGAAAATGTTTGTTCAAAGCATGACGGGATTCAGTAGAGCGCAATCTTTCGGAAAGTATTCCCTGGTGACAGTAGATTTAAGATCACAAAATGGGAGATATTTAGATATTTGTGGAACTCTGCCTCCCATGTTGGAAGGTTCAGAATCCAAAATACACAATCTTTTGAAACAGTTTCTTTGTCGAGGCAAAGTTCATTATTCCGTGTCGATCTCTGCTTCTGAGGACTCGTTGCCAATCTCATTAATGGAACCCTCTGTGAAAGATATCAAACAAATACTTGAACGAATATCTCAAATTTTAAAAGTTCAGACTCCAATAGATCTAAACCATGTACTCCAGTTTCGTGATCTTGTTATTCGTTCAAAAGAACATATGATTGAAAAGTAAGTTGTTGAGCGGTCGTTTAAAGATGTAGTTTTTTTTTACAAAATGAAATAGTGAGGAAGATCTATGGCCTTGTATAGAAGAGGCTTTCCATAAAGCAATACGGGCATTAATTGAAGTACAAAGACAAGAAGGAGAAAGGTTAGTAGCTGATATAGAAACTCGAATAGAATTATTACGTGGTTGGTTGGACGAAATTGATCAGTATGCTCCAACAAGAGTTGTTCAGCAAAAGAGAAGAATGAAGCAAAGGATTGAGGATTGTTTGGAAGGAAATCATGCTATTGATGAGTCTCGTCTCGACCAAGAATTGGCACTACTAGCGGATAGAATCGATATAACCGAAGAAACAGTTCGATTTCGTTCTCACTTAAATTTCTTTACCGAAAGTCTAAAAGTGGCACCTCAGGTTGGTCGACGACTCAATTTCATTTGTCAAGAATGGCTAAGAGAAGCCAACACTATCACCGCGAAATGTGCTGATTCGTATATTAGTATGCGAGCTATACTTATCAAGGAGGAAGTTGAAAGAATTCGTGAACAGGTACAAAACATTCTATAGGAATGGATATTCTTCTTCAAAAGCCACACAATGCGGAATTGGGACTTGTTTCATTTTAGAAATGTTTAGGAGACAGATTTGGGATTAAACATGGCCCAAAATGAAGACTCTTGAATTAGTAGAACTTGACGAAATAGCACACTAATTATTTCTGAAAGATAAAGGAGATCAGTTGATTGCCGATATATCATTGAAATAAACGACCAAGTCTTGTTGGCAAGACCGCATTGTTCCAACGTAAAAGAGGATAAACTCGTCAGACTTACTGTAGATACAAGAATACTTTTGTAAAGTTAGCCCTTTCAAACTTACAAACTTTTATTTCCAACTAAGTAACCTCCAATTCCTATTAAAACAATTCCATTTGCTGAGTTGGCTTTGAAATCTGCCGATGCTTCCACCAGAAATTCGTTGTTTCATTCTTCGGTTGGATCGTAGGTAAACCAGTTAAAGCAGAATTCATCATCTTGAGAAACTCTTAAAATGAAAAAGAGTTCGGTCCTTCCTCCTAGATATCCTTCTCCAGAAGCAACTACCACACCTGCAGAGAAACCAACTTTATCTCTAGAGTTACCCAAACCAACCACAACTCCGCTTCCGACTCTTCGACTGTGAGTTTCTAGTTTGACTGTGTTGAGTTCTAAAGCTGAACTTTTTTGTTTTATTTGATAGTGTTATTCTGGGTCTTGCTGTGCTAGCCGATGCATTTTCAGTAACTAGTGAGTAATTTTGCTTCTCAGAGTATTTCTGTTGACTTGCATAGTTGTTTATCCTTTTGCGCCATTCTTGGTAAGAGACCTCATGAACATACCAGATTGGCGTCAAAATGAAGTAGGCTACTATTCAGGTTTGATTGCTTCTTGCTTTACATTGGGGTCCATGTTTGGAAGTCCATTATGGGGAGCTTTGAGTGATCAAATAGGAAGGAGACCTGTTATACTTGTTGGTCTACTTGGCGATTTTATTTTTATTAATCTCTTTGGAACGGCAAAAAATATAGCGACTTCTTTGATATTTCGTTTCTTACACGGCCTCTCTAGTGGGTAAGTCAGTATTAGCCTTTTCAAATATATTGTGACTCTTTGTAGAAATATTGCTGTGGCAAAAACTTATCTAGCTGATGTGACGGACTCTACAAATGAATCCGCTGCTTTCGGTTTGATTGGGTTGACCTTTGGAGTTGGTGTTGTTATAGGACCTGTTATAGGTGGATTCTTATCACGACCAGCAGTACATTTTCCTCAATATGTTTCTTCTGGTTCGCTTCTTGACAGATATCCTTATTTATTACCTTGCTTAGTGGTTTCTATCTATATCTTTATTGATTTAATTTTTGCATTCTTCTTTCTCGATGAAAGTAAGCCCAGATATGACTTCAGTACGAGAGAGCAAAATTTATCTTATGCGTATGGAATTACGGACAATGCTTCTGCACAAGAGTCCGGAGTATGGATCGACTCGTCAGCTGGAGTTGAAACGGTATCTGTGGCACCTTCAGATGTTTTATCTGTAAGGGAACAGGAGAAGAATTTTTTGGATAGAAACCTACTGGAAAGTTTTGAAAGACAAGTTGGAATTACACCTCGAATGAGTCAAAGTCTATTCTCCTCTATACCAATGTCGTTGAATGAATTTTCTCCGACAAATCGTTCCTTGCGAAGCCCTTTGCTTGGTTCGGAGAGGTCCCGTGATTTTACAGGTCTAGCAACGCCTTCAACTCGATCCATTCGTAGTAGAAGAGGTAGGGAACGAAGGGAACATGAGTGGGATGATCGTCTTTCTTGGAGTAATCGTGAAAGTTATACGGAACAGATCGGTCCTTTACTGACAGAGACTATATTAGAACCGGAAGACGATGAGATAGACAAGAGGAGCAAGGCATTATCATCTTCGCAACGAAGTCTTTCTATAAGCACTAGTATTCCTGAAGATGGAAGAGAAGAAGATAATAACAACAATGACGAAACTGAATATAAGGGTTCTCAAGTAAGAGACGTAATGGAGGAAGATGATTGGTTTTACTCTGATGAGTATCCAAAGAATCGTGGGATTTCGAGCGCGGAAAGAAGAGGTAGTGAGAGCTCAAGTTTTGTGACATATGGTTTAAGTGGAAGTTTGGGTGCTACTGCTACAAATTTGCTTTCTCCTGCCCTACGTTCTAGAGCTCCTTCGAAAGCTATTGAAAGGTTAAGAATAGATGAAGAAGATGCGGCTAGTACAGTTATAGAGAATAATATAGAAGAGACTCCTTTATTTTCTCCTGATGAAGAAGGAACAATACTTCCGGAACCAACTGGTGCTATCATTGAGAATCGAACTTTTCGTCAAGTATTAATAGTGGCTGTGCTTATCTCATTTACCTTGATGGCTGGAGATGAAGTGATTCCCATTTGGGCTTCCACGCAACCCAGTTTTGGAGGACTTGGATTTTCCTCAACAGATATTGGACTTGTCCAGGCTATAAGTGGTATGACAACTATTCTCGTTGCATTGTATATCTTTCCTTTTATTGCTAGAAGACTTGGTGTTGTAAAGACCATTCGGTTAGGTCTATTTGTCGGGAGTTTAGATTATTTGTTACCAGCTATCATTACTTCATTTGGATGGAGTAGAAAGAATATAGCATCTTGGTTGGGTTATGCATCGTTTGATATTTTTCTGGCTTTTTTTGAACAGTGTTGTTGGGCCGGTATTGCATTGATTGTGAAGAATTCTGTACATCCTTCCTCTGTTGGAATAGCTTTAGGCCTTGCTCAAGGTTTGCAAAGTGCTGGCTTTGCGGCGGGACCAGTAATTGGGGGTTCGCTTTTTGCTTCTGCTATTTCTCTGAATTTGCCTTTTCCTTTCACTTATGGACGGTCGTTTTTTTATTTAGAAAGTGGTTTGTTATTGATGATTTATATAATTGCAGGTGGCTTACCTCCTTGGCCATGGAAAATAGAACAAAGCAAGTGGTAGATTTTCATACAATACGTACATGTAATAACAAGTATTTTTTTATGTTTACCAATGAAATAAAGTTTTCAAACACACGCTCTCATGCGCAAACAGACAAACAGACCTTGTTTATTCATCATTTCTAGTATTGCCTAAAGTTATTTGCTCCAAATCATTCGTAGTGACACTTATCAAACCAGTCGAGTAATGACGTCTGAAATAAGTAAAATATCGAAAGGAACATGGTCTCCGAACAGGAAGAAACAGATGATCATCTCTATGGTCACTAAGCGATGGTCCCAATATAAACTCATCCGATTCGAAACATTTCATACACAAATCATAGCTTGGAAAACATTCTAAACAACGATAAATAATGCCTTTCATTGGAAAGATATGACAAAAGTCACAACTTTTAGACGCATGTACAATCTGCACCATTTTCATATTCAGAATGCAAACCAAAAAATTCCTTAGGACACGTACCTCATTTACACGTTCATGAAATGCATTTTGTGCCGATACTATCCAAGACAAGGGATAAGGTAGAAAGGGCGAACTTTGATGTAAAATTGCCAATAAACCCAACGAGTCGACAGCACGAGGTATCAATAAGATTCTACTCAAATGACCAAAAGCATTAGGTAACCTAGCGCGGCCATCCATAGAACCGAATGTCAATTGAACGGAGTTGGCTGCCAAATTGTATTCGACAGGCAATGCGAATTTCACACCATGTGATTCTCCATTCAAGAAAATTTCAAAAGGTGCCTCACAAGGTTCATCAGAGTCTTGTGGATGACAAACCAATACAATTTGAGACCACTCATAAAATGGGAGTTCCTTTAAAGTGGAATGAACTCTTGAAGCTACAAGAAAGCTGTCTCTTTCATGAACCGATACGGACTCCTCATCAACACTTTGAACATTTCCATTCGACGAGATGACTTGAGAAACATGGCAACGATTGTCTTCATCTCCTAATAGTAAACATAAAGTACCATTTAAGGTTTCCTTACTGGGAACTAAAAAACAGAGAGCACGAAAATCACGTGTATCTGCGTCTCGGGCAAGGAAAAACCAGAAACTCAAAGTAAATTGTTTCAAGCCTGAGAAATCTGGAATATCGAAAGTAAACGAAGAGTTGGTAGTTAAATCCAAACCGTCACCACTAGAGCAGGGTGAAGAAGCTCCATGAAGTGATTGGTATATCTTATACCAGCCCCTTTGGTTGGGAGAATTTTTGTTTAACAACGGAATAAATTCTTCTTTGACATCTTCCAGGATTTCTTTTTTGACACAAGCAAGCCATATAGTCTCATCTGAGCAAACGTTTCTAAGTTTTCTACAGGTGCTAGAAAGTCGAGCTAGAGATATACCGTCCAAGTGACAGCATATATTCCTCAAAACATCTGAAATATTAGGTTAGAGTCTATAACAAACCAAGAAAAGGGCCTTGTATACCTGCTGGCAGTGTTTCAAGAAACATGGTCCGATTCCATTAATTGCAGCATAACACAGACTGTTTCAGATTCGTGCCACAGCGGGTCAAGGTTCAAACGAATGACTAGAAACTATATTTCTATATTCGTATACTAGGAGCTTACGAGAAATTGTAGACTCTGTCTGATTCAGAGCTAGATTTCAAAAGAATAACCCTTCCCTATAATTTACTCGTTGTTTCCTTTTCAAGTCGAACAACGAAATCCTCCAATTCTCTCAACAGAAATCGAAGCGGCGGGAAGATCGTCTGGTTGTGATTACTTCTCTCGCTCCTTTTCAAGGTGACTAAACTACATGAAATATATACGTTGCTTTGTTTTAAAAAGACTAAGAAATGAGTTACGTTTATAGTTTATCAAATACAAGGTTTGCAAACTATTTGACAAAACGTTTTAGAAGATAAATGTATACAAGGTTTGCTTGAACAACTCTTCCACAATAGCACTGAAAAGATATTCGTTTCGTTCCCACTTGAAACATAATACATCTTATGAATTATTCTGAAATGGTATCAACTACGCTTTGAGTCATAATGTCCTAGTTGCCCAAAAATGTTTTTTTCTCCTCAGTATATGTTATTCTTTATGAAGTGACACATCAACAAGTATCACAAGTTTTACATCCAACTGATTCCCCTCCCAAGCAAAAGACAGCAAATAAAGACTTCCAGAAGAGCCGCCCTTTTTCTACTTTTGATTGGCATCAAATTCAGTTCTGGAAGAAATTTTTATGTATCGTCGGTACTTAAAGTCTGTTCTTTGGATTGGTTGTGTGTAGACAGTTGACCAAATGAAAGTGTTGAAACAGATACCAAAACCACTAACAAAGATTGACAGTCCAAAGGAAATAGTTCGACAGTTTATACCAAGTTGGTTCGCTGCTACTATGGGGACTGGTATTCTGGCGGTACTTTTACATGATTTTCCTTTTCCATTTACGCACTTGTTCGACTTGGCTTGGGCATATTGGTGGTTGAACGTTGGTCTCTTCACTATTTTTAGTATTCTGTTTTTAGCTCGTTGGACTTTCTATTTCAAAGACGCTTTACCCATGTTCTCCCATCCTGTCCAATCCATGTTCTTAGGTGCTATTCCTATGGGTCTTTCCACAATAGTCAACGGTGTTGCCTTATTTTGTGTTCCGGTATGGGGTCCGGGATTTGTAACTCTAGCAGAGGTTTTATGGTGCATCAACGTCGTGTTGGCTTTGGCTTCTGGTTTACTTGTTCCTATCTATATGATAAGCACACATGAGCACACCTTGAAGAAGATGACAGCCGTTTGGGTTTTACCTGTTGTTCCAGCAGAAGTAGCGGCAGCGACTGGTGGAGTTATCTTACCAACCATTGCTAATATAGCTTTTGCTCGCTATATTGCATTTTTGAGTGCTATCTTATGGGGCATATCCGTGCCCATAGCAATGAGCATTCTCGTTATTTTCTTCCTTCGCCTAGTGTTACACAAATTGCCACCGAATGATCTAATTATTAGCTGTTTCTTACCTCTGGGTCCTATAGGTTCAGCGGCATTAGCAGCCACTGGTCTCAGTATTTCAGCCCCTCGTATATTCGCAAGTCTCGGGGATACTCTTTCGGATGTGGCTTATGAAAGTCTTGCCTCGGCTACTTCAGCAATAGGAATATTAGTAGCGTGTGTCTTATGGGGTTATGGTTTTTGGTGGCTCGTTCTTGCAGTTTTCGCAGTCATAAAGACGTTTGTAGATCGTCTTCCTTTCAATCTTGGCTGGTGGGGCCTTATTTTTCCTTTGGGAGTCTTTAGTGCGGCTACTGTGGATCTGTACAAATTGACACAGCTTCTATTTTTTAAAATATCGGCGACCATCTTTATTTGCGTATTGTTTATATTGTGGTGGATCGTTATGGTGAACACATTCTTAAGAGCATATACTGGGGAACTATTTTACGCTCCTTGTCTCCATACACAAATGACCGCAGTACAAGCAGCCAACTTTGAGCTTGAAGTGTAAAAGTAGTTTCAAAACAATAAAGCATGTTTGCTAACTGGACCGAAGATTGTATTTTCTCGTATTTACTGATGTTTCATTCCAACAAGTTGAAAAACGACAATCGTTGAGTTGCTTGTGAATTGAAAGACGATGCAAACTTTTGTCTCTATGAAGTTTCTATCTCACCCATTTTTGTATATATGATTATCTGCTGATTCACTGGAGACTGAAAAATCTCGTGCGTCTCTAAATCTCTTTTTCATTGACGGAAATTTGAGTTTATTCACATTCCTTTTTATGAATTCTACACTAGAAGCATCTTTCATGAATCATTGCAGCTCCTAGTTCATGATACTCTTCCAAAGTCATACATATTTTTTCAAAAGATGGGAGATTGCCTAAAATGGAACCTCCTAACCAGGTTGACAATCTACTAAGAAGTTATTAAAATAACGACTATGCCTCAACTATAATTACCGAGCATCTGGTAGACGAAAGATATGAAATGCAGCAGTGGATGGAATGTTATTTTTTAAATCTTTCTTGAGTCTATCTTGAATTCCCGTTATCATCATGCTTCCTCCGGATAGGACAATATTATTCCACAGATCCTATTCAAAGTTTGTTATATGATAATATTGACCACAACGATTACCTTTCGTATGTTGTATGGAATTTCTTGAATGCATTTACAAACCATATCAATCAACCCATAAGACTGTATACCCACTAGTTGTGGATGAAACAACATTTCAGGACATTGAAAACATTCAATGTCCAAAGTAATTTGGCTATCATCCGGTAATTGAAAGCATTTTCCTTTCAATTTGCCCTGTTTAAAGTGTTCCATTTCTTTCTGATAGTCTAATGCAATGTAACAAGAATTTTCTTTCATAGTTCTTATGATATCGTTTTCTCTATGATGAAGGCCGAAGCGATATCCTTTCTTCCATAACAACTTTTGCTTGCATTGAGAAGGTTATTTTTTAAAAGAGAGAAAATACGTACTCTTGCTAAATACTGTTCCAAATGCTTTCCAGAAATATCCTGTTGTTGTATACCATTCTGAACAGTGTAACCTTCATATATAGGAACAACACTGGTCATACTATCACCAGAATCAACTACAATTCCCGTTGTTTTGCCACTACTGTAAAGTGCCAACATAGATTGGCTTGCAATATATAAAGCTGGAATATGAAATACTTCAAACAACATTTCAACCATTCTCTCTCTTTGCTTGAGCGGATTGAGAGATGGCTCTGACAAGATTACTGTTTGATGCAAAGGATCCACGTCGAGTTCATCAAAAAAGATGTACTTAAAAATTTCTTCCATAGCATGCCAATCCTGAATAATGCCATTTTGAATAGGAGAAGATGCTAGAGGGAACACGTCACGTCTTCTAGACAACTGATTACCTACATAGCATGCATTGGAGCTATTGAGCAGTTCTCTTCTTGGCTTTGCTTGGCTAACAAATGGTTCAAATATAGCACAAGGCTGATCTTCATTGACAAAGCCTACTTTACAAGTATTGGCACCGCAATCAACAACAATGGGCATCATAAATTGAGAAAAGAAATGTCATTCGAATCTTTAAAGCATCGCGACCCTTGAAGGGATTTTTTGAAGGGTTGCCCAAAATGCATTTCGTGTCCCTTTGGTGGCTTACGATGCAGCAAAGTTTCTGTAGTGATCATTGGTTTCTTATTATGGAAAGCTTTGTTCCGATACACAAAACAAGACTTTTACTTGGGTATCGTTTGCGAAAAGACTTTTGAATACAGAGTTGTTTCGATGTTTGAACTTTTCCAATATTGAATATTGAAGAACTTCAACAGTGACAAACTGTTCAACTACACATCCTTAACACCTTACATCTTCAATTCTTCTACAGTGTTGATACAAAAGTACTGCTTTTCAATGGAAAGCGTTTGAAAATTTTAGACAATTTTAAATAAAATGCTCCTTAACGACACTCGTTTATTTCTTATCACAAAGATCTTAGAACACAGTATATAACTATGTGTTCTGAAATTGCTCTAATGCTCTTTTCTATAAAACAAAAAGCTATTTCTTGAGTACTCGCAGAGCTCAGAACTTCTTAGAGGTAAATCAATCTTCACATATAAACTATCCGCTGATTGACAGATAAAGATCATCATGGCCCTGCAAAAATCTGACAAAAGTTTAGACTAAGACAGCTTCTTCTCGTAGTTGTCCAATACACAAGTCAACGACCGAAGACGGTTCTATAACCCATTCAATGAAACTTAGCGGTGGACAAGCCCTATATTGTCTTCTTACCGAAAAAATATTGACCAACTCTTGTTGAGGACGTCCTAGTACAGTGACTAAGGACACATCCCCTTTGAGAGAGTTCAATAACTGAAGTTGCAATTCCTTCTGGCTCGGACCATTCTATAAGCACAAACCAATCACATTCGAAACTAAAACTAAGTTCATTACTACTTGCCAGAATTTTCTGAAAGGAAGGTCCTGATAGTAATAACTCATCTACTTTAGCTCCCAATAATAAACCACCTGGAAAATCTACAGCTATTCGTTTACAGCTAGTCTTAAGAAAAATACCTGGAATCAGAGAACAACTTCTTTTCATAGCTTCCATAAACTGTTGTGAGTCGTTAGAAAAACAGACAGCACTTGGAAAACCCAGAAACAAAGGTTTCATATCCTTCCATCTTGGCACAGGCAGATCAACAAAAAAGAATATAAAAACTGAGGCAAAACATACCCTAAATTCTCGGTAACTTCGCGACCTTCCCAAGGCTTACAAAAACGTGCGTCCACTTCGGAAAGCCCTTCTGTCACTCGCTGTCTTTGAACTTGTATGAATAAAAGTTTTACCAAAGCAATAAACCCTACCTCAGAAACAACCGTCTCCAGGGTACTCCTTTGGTAAAACCTACAAACCCAAGATATCTAAAATTCTTAAATATTCTAGTCCACTCTCTTATGATAAGTTCCCGACGTAGTTGTCGAAGATCCACCGTTTTGGTGGCCATGGAAGGGTTCCAAAAATGACTTATTCCATTATAGTCTTAAATCTTTTCGAGCTTTATGATTTCAACTGAGTGAATATCTCATAATATTCAGCAAGCTTTCGCTTCTCAAGAAGCTTAAACTGAACATTCTTTGTAGTTATTCACATATGGTGAAAAATTCTACTACAATCATTTTCAAATGAATCTTGATACTACTCGTTTAAGTCAATGAAACTTTTCAAAGTGACATAACGATACGGTGGAGATTTCCAGACACTCTTTTAGTAATTCTATGACTTCAACATTGCTTGTTCCTTTTACAAAGGATCCAGTCAATGGTTCACATTGACTAGAGGTATCTCGATACAAAGACCATCTTGAAAGTCCTTTAAATAAAAATTTTCTAGTCTTTTCAGATGTAGTTCATCTCTTGTTTCGGGAAACATAGTATCACGATCAGCACAAAACACAGTATGAATATACGGCTGTCTCCAACTTGCTTCAGCGTACAATGGATAAGGAGGAAACCAAGCAATTTCAGAACTATCACTCCAACCATTGTCAGTATCAATCAATTTTACTTTGAAAAGTTCTGCAGTGCCATTCGAAAGATTTGCTTCGCATAATGGTTCCTTCGCACCGAAAGCATCAATATATCTTATCGATACTAGCTTCTCATCAGGAGGAAAACTGACTCTTCTTGCTTTCTTTTTCTTTTTTGGTGTTGAATAACGCTCAACAGAACCTAACGAAGGCCTTGATCTCGCAATAGATATATCAACTCCATAATCCTCTCTGTGCTTGGAAATGGCTTGGGTAACCTTATTCTTCATAATTTTATTCTTCTCACTATCATATATACTTTATAGGAATCAGAAAGTGGAAGACGAACTTCGCCTTACCGTCTTACGAAATTTCCTCGCATAGGGTTCAACAGATACTTCCACTTTTCGTGAATTCTTCGTGCGCAACATTTCGAGAGCAAAAGATCTTTCTCAACTTTACAAGAAACCTTCCAAGGAAAACTAGCTTCTCCAAGTTTCTTCAGGTTTTGATATAATTCAACAGAAGAAACCAACTTTTTCTAAAAAATAGACAGTCAAGTAACAATCGAGTGAAAGAAACCGAAACCTACCTTTCCAATTGGTAACCAATCTAACAAATTTATTAGGCAGCAAAGGAGTTGCCAGTCTGCCTCCTGCACCAAAACATCGAAAAGCTTTGAAAAATAGCCAAAGCAAGGACTTGAAACAACTTTTAGTAAATCCACCCTTATTCTACTCAGAAGCGCATCCCTAGATTCAAGAGGGCATTTTGCCAGGTCCTTGAGGAATGCTTTCAACAAAACGAGAGTAACATGCTCCTTCAAGTTGACAAAGTCGTCAAAGGGCATCTCTTCACAACACACTCGGTTGTCCAATCTAGAAAATTTTAAATTTTGGAATACAGCACTGACGAGCCATTTCCACTTTTCTTCATATCTCTCTCAGCAATGTTGGGAGATCTATCGATGACTGGATCTTTCATCCAGAAAATAAAAGAGAACAAAGTTATGGTAAGTGTATGTATAATAAATTCAATCCAGAAAGGCAATATTTGAATTGAATTGAACTTTCTTCTTTTTGTCCTCTTTTTCTTGCAGAGATTCGATATGTCTTTCAAGAGACAAAACTTCATAATATTCTTTGTTTTCATGTTGAATAAAAGAAATCACAAAATAAAACTGCTTCCACTGTCCATTCTTTGTTAAACTTTATGGATAGAAATTGTCAAATGTTATTTCCAAACTAGTCGAGAAAAATTGGTTGACAAGTGAGCACAACACCTTACAAAGCAATTCTGTCCGCAATCTCTTAAAAAGCTTTATTTCTCAAAGTACAATTGGAAACCAACTCGAATTACTTGGCAATGTGAAACACAACAGAACTTTAAGCAATCGTTCCAAACATGAAAAAAGTTCTTGTAACAGACACAATATAGAAAAACTTCTAATTAGCTGTTGTCATGGAGGATTACTTAAGACTTCGCAAGTACCATCCCTTGAATTGCTCCAAAAATATAAAAGTCAATACTGTGTGTGGACCAATTCGGAAAAAGAACGGCCAAAATCCTTTCCATAAAGCAAAGAAGCCTTCGTACTTCACTACCTTTATAAGACAATCTATCATTCCATTGTATTCTCTTTTACCATCAATGGTCTTGCAAAACAACTCAAACACGAAACAAATAAATCCAAAAAATACTTTACCTTCATATTCTGAACTCTCGTCTTTGCCATATCTAAAGGCAAACTAACAGAAGAAGCACAGAAACCAGCAACTGAAGAGGCAAAAGCATGAGCTCCAATGTGATCACCAATAAGGCCATGAGAAACAACGAGCTAACCAAAAATTAGAAAACATAAACAACTCTTAGAGAAAATACACACTTGTTTGGCTTGGTCGTATGTTGAAAGTTGTGCTGCGTTCAACGCCATGGCTCGACCGATAGTGGGAAACGCTCCTCTCCACAGTGTAAAGAGACCTTCCTCCCGGACAATACGAATCAAAGCGTCTACAACATTTTTGTAACTAAAAAGCCATAAAACTATATGAAAAACGTGAATTCAAAGCATATTACCCTCTCTGCTGTTCCTTTGGGAGTCTTCCATCTGCGGTCATACGAATCAACTAAAGCGTGTTCAACTAAAGATCGATATTTTAGAAAAGGAAAGCTTACTGCTACTTCTGCAGGAGTTCCTACAAAGGCACCAATTGCTCCAGCTGTCAACCCAGCCGCTACTTTTAGATAAAAAGGAGGTGGTTGTGTGGTCATCTTATCCATGGCATCCCTTAGTGCACCAAAAACGCCCAACCTAGTTGTGGTATAGGTAACCTAACCAAAAAGAATATATCGTGTCGTATAAGTTGAAGTTCTATGAATACCTGCCTAAACAGAGCAGCTGTTAAACCACGATACAGACCAAAGAAACTTTCTCTTTCAACTACTCCAGCAAAAGTCTTAAAGAATCCCACTTTTGGAACACCTCTTGTGCCCTGACCACTAAGTTGCAGTCTGGTCTTCACCAAATCAATCGGTTGAACTATAGTGGTTGCTGTCATCCCACTATACAACTAGCTTTTAAGATACATCGAACCCGAAATACTGCAAGTTCCGTACCTAAGGCCACCAAAAACGAACTGCATGTAACTTGGCACTGTCTTTACAGTTTGAGTTTTACTAGCGGCAGTTGTTGCTGTTGCCATTTTGTTGTTGTTCTGCTTGAGCGAGTTGATTTCAACGATAATTACGCCCAATCGGTTTGCGATTTCGATGACAGAGCAAATGAGCAACCGAATAATCGGCATAAACAGCTACTGCAGATGTTCCAACTTTACGATTACAAATACAACAAGCCCGGTCTCTCCCTATCACTACCTTCTGCTTCTTCATTTGAACTAGTTGATCATTGAGGAGTAAGTGCTCGCTTTTCAGAAGGGACTTTTTCACCTTTGCGGACCGCACTAGACCAACAGCATTCGACAGAGATGATAGAAGAAAAGGAATAATCAATTTGAGTTCAATATCGGCAGGTAACTCTCTTATTACTCGACTACAATCCACTTTCAAACCCTCCCTTGAAGAAAGAAGTTGGCATGCGCGATTCACAAACCTCGATGTATCGGAGTATTTCTCTTCTTCCACCTTCGAAGAATCACTGGCTGCCAAAGACAAATACATTTTTACTAGCTGAGTCCACACTTCTCTACTCTCATGGGAAGGAACTGTGTCTCTGATAAAGTTTTCTGCTGCATCCGGATCAAAACCCTCTTCAACCAATAAATGAAGTGCTTCCATATATCTGCCCTGTTGACCAACCAGAAAAGCACGTTCCTTGTATAATTCCTTATCCTGTGGAAGTTGACTAAGAACATATTGCGGATCAAAACCCCCGCGCTGACAAATAAACTCACAAATCTTCTTCTTAGCATCAATTGGACTGTCCAAAGTCTTATGAGTCTCATTTTGCTTGGCGTAAATGTAATTGTCAATATAAGCGTTTGCCAAATTATCAATAAGAATTTGATAATATCGAGAATTCATACGGTTGTCTTGTACTAGCTTTTCAAGTTGTTGTTCTAGAAACTGAATAAGCAAACTACAATTTTGCTGCCTCAAAAAAGACAAAGCATCCGATAAAGAAATCAATGGCTTCGACAACAACTTGAGTACCAAATCTGAATCTCCTCCATGATCAAAATACCACTGTAAATGTTCAAGAATAAGTTGACTAGAGTTACTATTTAAAGATACCGACAGTTCGCTCAAATACGTTCCCAAATTCTGAATATACGCACTTCGCGTATCTCCAGCACTTGATTCGATCAAAAGTTCAAGAGTTTCCAATGCCATTTCGTAACATCCCGCTGAATGATAAAAATAAAACCAAAACAAATCACTATCAGTTTCTGACATATATTTAGTACGTGTACGCCATTGAATAACTTCAGAGTCTACAACATGGCAGTGTACTTGTTGCACCAATTCGATGAGCTTTCGACTTTCCGTATGGGCCATCAACATTGTTTCTATAACTACACAGAATACTGCATCTCGACCTGGAATCCATAAAGTATCGACGCGTGTATCTTCAGACAATCCTCGAAGCTTCCTTATCTCTTTCAGTTCATCTGTATAATGCCTAGCCAAAAAGCTTGCCCATACTTCTAAAGCTTCCTTCCAACTTTGTGGCACATATTTATCTCTAAGTTCCAATATTTGCTGAGTAGAAATATTCATTTCAGTAAGGAATGCAATGGCAAGTGAATGATTCCCTTTTTTTAAGGCATCCAACGATAGCGCCTCACGCAAAGAATAAACTCTTTCTCTTCCAAAATCTTCAGGTAAAGATTCAGCAATCTCCAAGGCAAGTTGAAGTTGATCCTGAAGCGAAGTCAACATAAAAAATTGCGATAAATCATTCAATTACCTCATTTTCCAACTGCTTCGTTATATCCCAAATTGGCTCACGTAGCGATAACTTTAAGACCTTCGAATACCAAAATGCGTATCCAGCAATATCAGAACGCGTCAGATCTCCACAGGAAGGCACAATCATACAGAGGGTGTTAAAAAAACGACTGGAGGACACAAAATTTTGCAAATGAATACTTTGAACAACACTACCGATTCCATTGCTAGACAATGTACGAACTATCAAATGATTTCTTGAATACAACAAAATGCAAAAAGGACGGCAAAATACGACTGACAATGGAACTTGATTTTCCGATGAGAGGAAAGTAACATGATTCATAAACCCTTCAGACGGAGAAAATATACGAAAAACACTCGCTTGTTCTAATTCTAGAAGCCATCTATCACTGTCTGGAAGTGGAAGAGCAATAGGCTCTCTCACTGAATTACTAGACATTAAGCCTTTCATTCTGCGCAAAATGTAAAACGAAGAAGTCAACTCCGAGGGATTGGAAGGCTCTGCAGTTCTTCGACTATTAGCATTATCCAAATCTGACTTCATCGATACTACACTTCGGACTTGTAGCGATCCATCGTCTACAACAGCATAAATAATATGGTCTCGTAAGGTTGAAACACAAAGTTCTTTTTTGCTTGAGCTACCACCGAATCTAATAGCCAGAGGTAAATCCGCAGAGTCTTGCTCACCCGCAAAACAAAATCCAGAGTCTAAGTGTGAACTATCCAAGGTTAGTAACCGAACCCTCTTTTTAGCTGCAATAGCAATGTACGCCTTTTCTTCATTCCATGAGTGAACACTAAACACATGAGCTCCACTACTTTTTTCAGACAAAAACTGCAACTGAGAGGACTGTCGAGGAAATAAATCCAAACTAGGAACTTCGTAAGCGACAAGAACAGAATCTACCAAGAGGAACACAAGACGAGTATTTCCGAGCCTCACAAACTGCACAGGACTTAAAGAATGGTTAGAACTGAAACCTGAACTTGACCTATTCAACGATATTCTTCTTGAATGAATAATCTTATATTTGTGTGATTCTCCAGTGCCTTTCTGCGCCTAAATACAGTATAAAGGAAAACAAAAGAGAAGACGTACTGATTAAAACATACAAAAGATAACCTTCGTTTGTGGTGATAACCAAGCTGTCAGCGTCTACAGCGCACAGACTATTGATTTTGTAAACAAAATCTGTAATACAAGGACTAACCAAAAACAGGTCAGACAATGGCGAGTGTATCATAGTTTTCCAATTCCACAAATTTTCATATCGATTGATGACCAAACAGTTGAATTGTCTTTCTCATTGGTTTCGCAAGGACAAGGAAACTCTTGTGGATAACACGCGCTGTTCCTGTGAGACACTACAATTGTACAATGATAACACTGAAAGTATATCTGTTTCAGAATTAAAAGAACGAGCCAATGCTCTCTACAAACAAAAGAGGCTCCTAGAAGCAGAGCAAGTCTATATGATAGCAATCACGCAAATCGAAGATGAGAGGAGAGTTCCTATTACGAATACCAAACCACCCTTTCAGGAAGAAAAGCGTAGCACACTTCAAGCTCTTTATTCCAATTTAGCCCAAACAAGACTGATACTAGAGAAGTTTCAAGAAGCAGAACGGGACGCAAAGAAAGCTATTGATTTGCATCAGAAGGGAACGTGCTCTACAAAAGTCCTTGTGAAAAGTTTGTTGAGAAGGTCTTCGGCGTTTTTGAATTTACTTCAGTTGGACTCTGCGCTTGCTAGCTTGGAACAAGTACGAAAGCTGGAACCCAATAACCCTGAATGCCATAGGCTTTATTCGCTAGTTACACAAGCATTAGTTGACCAGGGGACAGAAGCAAGCTCAAACTATGAACAAAAAAATCAACGTCGCCATATATTAGACTCACCACAGTCTCTACTTTTTGCAGTGCGAACAGACAAGCAACCAAACGAATATTTATCTTCACAAATATCAAAAACCTATTCAAAACCTTGTGCTCTCATTCAGGAGTTGTGCTTTGAGGAAGGTAACTTGAACAATAACAAGGAATGATAATATACTTCAGTTCTCAGCTGCTTACTATTCTTACATTCATCACACTCTATGAAAGTTTCGGTAGATATTATTTTATATTACATGAGGAACAGTTATTCACGTACTGTTTTAAAATTATCATTTTCTTAAGAGGCTCATATTGTTATATTATGTATATTATATAAAGAGCAAGCATATTTCCATTATCAACAAAAGAATAGTGACTAGGAAAGCCTTCAAACGAGCCTTTCTTTTTTAGATAAGGAGTATCCAACATTTTCCAATATTTTTCAAATACGTATCATTCATCATGCTCGAACATGTTGAGATGACTGTCTTTGAGTTTTTTCATTTAATAGTTTATCAAAGATAGCCACAAACTCCTCATATATCATCCATGTTATAGCAGAACCCAAGCAACGTTTAAGAAAACGAGGAGAAGCTCCACGAAAAAATCCAACAATACCATCTTCTCGATAGATTGTATGAATAACTTCTATGGTTGAGGCGTCCTGTTGTGAACGGTTAATTGAATAAGCTCTCAACTGCATTCTGGTTTTGATAACATCTTGTGGTTGTGTAAGAAAAGTAGCTGCGAAACCCCCTATTAAACCTGCTACGAAACTAACTGACATAGTTATCATATGATATTCTGAAGGTGAAGAGGAAATGTTTGTTTTTGTCATCGATAGATGTGAAAAATAAGTTCCATTCACTATCGAAGAAAGACCTTCACGAACTCTTAAATATATAAGAAAATAACTTGCAGAATATGGAGCGTCTCTCACAATAGTAGGTACAAGTCCACTAAAGAGACCACGAAGACGTTCCTTTTTGTATATTTCTACAAGTGCTTTGATAATTCCGCGGTTTTGATCGATAACTTGAGCTTCAAACCTGGTTTTCAACACAGATAAAGGACAAAGAAGAACGGCTGAAAGTGAACGCGAAAGCCCTCCAGCTAACAAAGTTTTCCAAGCTGGCATATGGGTCTCTGGGTCATCAGACTGCATCAAGTTCGTTATGGCGTTTAAGGAAACAAAGTAAATACCAACACCTAAACAGTTACGAATTATGGTAGGAGAAGTTCCTCTCCATAAACTCAATATACCCGTATTAGCAACTATACTGGCTGCTACAGAAAGAGGGTTCCTATATAGAGGTATAAAAAGAGAAAAGAATAATTATATCTTAGTCGAAAAAGAAAAAGTATAGAAACTTGAAGGAAACAAACTACCTTGGAGACAACACTCGTTGCAAAGTAACACTTGGACTCACAATATATTGAGAACCTTGCTGCATTCGAGTCTTAACCACGTCAAGAGGTTGCAAACATAACGTAGATACTAAGCCAGAAAACGCA